TGATGCATGTACAGGAAGCAGGTGGGCTCTTGGCTCCCAAATCATACACCTCCTGAAAGACAATTTGCTCTTGCTAGAGTTCTGAGAACGTCTAGTTCCTGGTGGTGATCTGGCCAGGACCAGAGGCCTGTGCTTTGACAATCTGGACAATTTGGCTAATCTCAGAGTGTGTGGTGCAAAGAGCACTGGACTGGGAATAGGCCACCAGGATTCAAATTCCATACCTACAATTAACATGCTGTGTCACCCCGGTTGAGTCCCTTCCCCTCTCTGAGCTTGGTTTCCGCAACTCTAAGATGAGGCAGTTGGACTTGCCACCAAAGGGCCTCTCTGCCGGGGACCTCTCAAGACTGTGCCCAGTACCGATTTCCCCAATGCCAAGGGAGAATGGAATTCTTATGATCGCTCTGAGTTCTTGGGAGGATTAATGCTCATTAAGTGCTTTAAAGGCTGGCAGCTGGCATTGCGTATGAGATCCCACTATTCTCCTGGAATCCCTTCTGCTGTCAGGAGGCCGATTTATTCCACAGCCTTGAACCCTAACTTTCCCCTGACTCTTCCCTCTTAAAAATTCCATTGTAAGCTGCTATAAATGAAAGGGTGAGAGGTACACCGACTACCAGTGGGCTGCCCATCCGTGATCTCTGCCACAGGCGCTTGAGGGCTGAGGGGAATAGGGCAGGAGGGATCAGGGCTGGGAAAGCCCTGGAGTCCTCACGTGGGTCCCTGGGTCCAGGAGACTCGGTCATAGCCCAGTCAAAATGGGAGAAGCACACACTGTCCTAAGGGCCTTATGTCATCCTCATAGCAGCTGAACTTGAAGAATGCTTCCTATGTGCCAGGCCTGAATATAAGCACTTCCCACAAATTAACTCATTTGGTTCTCGAAACAATCCTGTGAGTAGGTATTACTGTTGTCCCCAATTTAAGGCTGGAAACTGAGGCCCAGAAAGGTTAAGAAACTTGCCTAAGGTCGCACAGATGGGCAGTGGCAGAGCAGCATGCAAATCCAAGCCATCTGGCCTCAGAGTCCATGCTCTTCTGCTGGCTTCCCCCAGGTCCTAGGAGCAGCCCCTTTTACAGGTAAGGAAGCTGGGCCTCTGAGTACTGAGCCACTGTGCTTTACGGCATCACCAGCTGCTGCTTTATGGCTGGTTTCTCTACACTCCCCTCCTCGAATGTGTTCTTCAAGTGGCAGACTCACCCCTGTGACTTCACAGCGATGAGAGCACCACCATCGAGTGCCGGCCCTGTGCCCTTGAGGAACAGGCCGTGTCCACTTTGCTGGCAGCTGCTAGGGTCTTGGGGGCATTTTCTGGCAGGACCTGCTGAGCCAGATTGCGGTAAATAGGAAGAGACTTTAACACTGAATTGCTCAGGACATAAAAACTGGCTTGAGAGGTGCCTCACCCAGAGGTCTTACTTTCAAAGTGAGAACAGATTCAGGGAGGGGCGCACGGGTGGTGGGGAGGGTAAATTCAATTTGGTGAACTGCCACACGGGGAGACCAGGCTCTGCAGCCGATGTCTTCGTTGCATCCCCTGTAAATCCTGCAAAGCCAGGCACCAGTGTGAGCTCGTTACTCTACCCCATATGCAGCTCTCTTGGCCCCGCAGGCCCAGGGAGGAGCCTGCAAGAGCCCGTGGCAGACTGATATGCACCAGGATGCAGGAGGCTGCTCAGGGACCCTGAACATCCACTCAGCCAGGCAGGGCAGGGTGGGGACAGCTGCCATCTGACCATGCCCTGCAGGGTCCAGCCTACAGTGAGGTGACAGATGACGGCAGCTGCCAGAGCCCAGGAACGAGGCCACCCACAAGCCTGTACGAGTCCAGCAAAAGAAGCCAGTGGCGTGAGAAGCAGCTTCATTCAGGCCAGTTCATCTCCTATCATCCAGAATAGTCTGGCTTCCAAGCCCCTCATGCGTCCAACCCAAACTAGAACGTCCTCCAGGTTCCTCGAATGCCCCTAAACTGTCCTCCTCTGGGGGTGTTCCCATAAGCATCTGTATCACCAGACCCATTTGTGGCAACAATAAGCATAACTACCAGCTATTAAGATGGCTCTGTATGTCAGGCAGGCCTTGGGCTGGGGGTGTGATGTTTTCATTAGTTCCACTTTACAGAAAAGTCAGGCTCAGAGAATACTCAAGGTCACTCAACCAGGAAGTAGTGAAGTCATTTTGAACTTTTGAACAGGCTCCAGGGACCTAGAACCACAAGCCAGTGAAGGACTGGTCACATCATTGATCATGATCCCTTCTACGTGTCTCTCATTCGGAGAGCACCTAGACAGACCCCAGAGAGGCTCCGAGGAAGGGTTGCCAGTGTACGTCTCTGCAGAGCTTGTGGAGTTTTCACTGTGCCATTTATCCCTGCATCCCCAGCAGTCAGCACCGGGCATGGCACTACACAAGCAGCTGCTGAATGAAAGTGTAAGAAAATCAAGACTAGCTTCTCCCTGCCCAGTGCCTGGGGCCCTACATGTCCTCTTTTCCCAGGAGCCAGCCTCCCACTGCAGCTCAGTGGCTGGCTGCAGAAGGAAGGCCCTGTCTCACTGCCAGGACTGCTGCAGGCACAGGATGATCGGGTACCCAGGGCCTTAGCCAAGGCCGCTCCTGGGAGACAGGGGACCTCAGAACCCTCCATGGGCTCACCTGGGCAACTACCAACCACACTTATTACTGTGGAAATCCTATATCACTCATATATACTTGGCCCTTTGCACGTTCCTGCACGCTCTCATAGCAACCTGAGGGTGCAAGATGAACGAAAAGGGGCCCAGAGAGGTCAAGTGACTTGGCCACACAGATAGTTCAGGGCAGAGTGAGGACTCGCTCCCAGGTCTTCTGGTTCAAGGTCCAGGTTTCTTTGCATCATTCCAAGCTGCCCACTCTTCCTGAGGCTCAGTGATGGGAAAGGGTTGAGATTTAAATCACAGGCCCTGAGGAATTTCAGAAAATGGGACTTGGTTTAGCCCAGTTCCTCCCAGCAGTGCTCCCTCTATCCCCGTGGATGGTCGCAGCAATAGCTAAGCCCATGCTCCGCAGTTTCAGAGATCAAAAGCCTCCCCCCAACCTCCACCAATTCCCTGAATATTTGCACACTGTGTAGAGAGGAGAGGATTATGTCCCTCATTTATACTAGTAGCCAAAGCTCCAACAGCTTTGATGAGAGCCACACCAGCCATCTTTCCCCAGGGCTGATGTGGGTGTTGGGAAAGTCTATGATCTGGACAGGTCAGGCAGCGAGCCTCTGAAACCAGAACCCACACATTTCATATTTGAGGTTAAGGAAACACCTGTCTTCCTCCCCACGACTCAGGAGTCCTCTCTCAGAACTTATCCTAAGACAACGTTTTATGCACAAAGATGGTTAACTGCCGTGTTTTTGTTTTTGTTTTTGCGGTACGCGGGCCTCTCACTGTTGTGGCCTCTCCCGTTGCGGAGCACAGGCTCCGGACGCGCAGGCTCAGCGGCCATGGCTCACGGGCCCAGCCGCTCCGCGGCATGTGGGATCTTCCCGGACCGGGGCATGAACCCGTGTCCCCTGCATCGGCAGGCGGACTCTCAACCACTGCGCCACCAGGGAAGCCCTGCCATGTTATTTTTAATAGTGAAAAATTGGAAAGGACCTTTGTCCCACATTAGTGGGATGGTTAAATGAATTATGGCAATCCATGTAATAACTGCAACCATTAAAAATATTCTTTATGAAAAAATTTACACGAGTTAGGGAAACACATATGATGTAACATTCAGTTAAAAAAAAAAAAGAAAAGGAAGAACATAATATTGTATGTGGGTGGGGGAAGTGTACTGAAGAAAAGACTGAAAGGAAATAAGACAAGATGTCCACAGAGGCTGCATCTACATGGTAGAAGGAGTTATTTTTGGCCTTTACACTTTTTGATACTTTCTCTTTTCCCCTACATGCCGATGATAGTCAGGGGGGGAAAGCAGCAGCAGCAGCTACCCCAAATCACACCCCCTACCCAAGGGGAGTGAACTGTCTGAACAGCCAGAAGGGTTGGGATGCTGCCGGGTGACATGGAGGAAGGTAGGTCCTGTGTCCCTTTTCCCGTAACACAAATACTCTGCCATACGCATGGGGGTCCTTGTAAACCTGCTTTTGAAATTTTTCTGGGGATTTTCATCTGACTTAGCTCTTTGGTTCTTGATGTCAGGAGCCTGTGTCTCTAAGGGGTGGGGAATACAGGTGATGAATTTCTGTTTCCAGTTCCCCAGATAGCTCCTGTCTTGCAGGGAAGAAGGAAGCCAGGTGCCTCCAGCATCTTTTCACGTGAAAGGCCTGCAGAGAGGGGCGCTGGCGATTTGTCCGGGAATTACATTTGATATCTAAAGCCGTGCCCACAGTGAGGCACTTTGCAGTCTCTCCAGGTGAGAAGGGCTTTCGAGGCTCTGGCTGAGGAGGATCTCACAGCTGCAAAGGACAGAGATGTTGGCAAGTGTGGCTACAGGTCAAACTCAAGCTGCCAACGCACAGCAGCACCCATGCTGCTCCCTAACTGTGACTGTTTGTCCACCAAGCCACCCGGCGAGAGACACACACCTAAGACCCTAAAGGCAGCGCGTGTGCCCAGCTTATCAGATACATGTTTGGTTTCTCTAGGAAAACACCCAAGATCATTTTACAGCCACTTGGAGGAGCAGATTTAAACCCAATCCTCTGTGTCCTTCATATCTGCCCACCTTCTCCATGGCAACTAGTGTCCGTCACTCACTGCCCCCACTCACATTTCCAAGTTTGTCTGCTCTGAAAATTAACAACAGGTGCACATAAAGAAGTGTGTGAGGTGAGGGAGAGGCATGTGGGTTTCCCCAAAACCTAGAAGGCTCACAAGCCTAGACAACCCTGGAAGAAGTCAGACTTGGGAGCCCCCAGCTCTGGAGAAACAGGGACATAGCTCAGGAGGCAAAAAGTCAAAAATGAAATTCTGCTCGGCCCCCAGGGGCAGGGAGTCTTCCGACGCTAGCTCACCGAACATGTTGCCCTCGTAGCCGTCTCTTGTGAGGGGCCGGAGCTCGTTTTTCCCCATCGCATAGCGCTTGTAGCTCTGCCAGGCGAACTGCATCATCTGTAAGAAAGCGCAGAAACAGACCCTGAGCGTGGAGATTCCCAACAGCGCGGGCTGGCCACCTGGCCTTGCCCTTTGCAACAGGATTTGAAACCACATTATAAAAACAATCTTCCACATTGAGAAAGATGACTTCCTCTCACCACTGTTCTATTCATAGTTATGCCTGGAAGGCTGCTCTCCTCTGACAACCCCACGCGTCCTGCGTCTACTCACAGATTCCTCAGAGAAGGCACAAAAGGCACTAAGTACATTCTAGCCATCCGTCAGTGCCAAAGTGAAAAGCCACCTCTTCCATGAAGCCTTCCCGGACCTAAAGTGACCCTCTGAAGGCAAGGAAACAAAACTCACCGAGTGATGCCTATTAGAACCTAATAGAACCGTCCCTTGAGCTAGGGGTTGTTAACTCCATTTTGTAGATAAGGAGACAGGTCGAGACATGAGGTAACTCACCCAGGATTACCCAGTGAGTGAGTGAGCATGCTGGGAATTGAACCCATGCCCTCTGGCTCCGAAGCCTTAGGTCTGTCCCCTAAAGTCACTGCTTGAGTCGTCTCTTTGAACTCCTCCTGCACTTGGCTTGACCCAGGCTGGCTCTCCCAGGCCTCCTAGCACCCCAGCTGGTCACTCTTAGTTTTTGTTTTACTGGTTCTGGACCACAAACTCTTTGAAGCCAGAAACTACATTTTCTTTGCCTCAGTTCCCCCAAAGCACCCTGCACAGGGCTTGGCAACGAGTATCTGTCAGCTTTGTCACCCAGTGCATGCATGAGTTCTTAGTACATTAAGGCAACTATGTTAGCCCCTTGGCAGCATCACAAGCACACAAGCACCTTTGTCCCCTAACTGCACTTAGCACTGGAGGCTGGAGGAATGCAAGGCAACAATCTGTCCCCAGCCCTGCTCTCCTGCCCCTCCCCAGGGTCTCCCTTTTGTCTCTGATGGCAGGCTGCAGAAGGACAGCAGAGCAGGCCTCTGCGGTGACCATGGGGCTGAGAAGGGAGCCAGCCCAGGCAGCGGAGGCACAGCTGAAGGACAGGCAGGTGGGAGGCAGCCTGGTGTCCTGGAGAGAACTCAGGCTTTGGGGCCGGGAGGCCCGGGTTCTAATCCTACCTCTGCCACTATCTCTTTGACTTTGGCAAGCAACTAAATGTCTCCAAGCCTCAGCTACCTCATCTTTGAGATGGGAATAACAAGGGCTGCTTTGCCACAATCCTGAAAGGTTTAAATGAAAGCAAGTAGCTGGAAATGCCCAGTTTTCGACTTCACACAGCAAGTGATCAACAAACACGAGTCCTCTTTCCTGCTCAGCCTTTAAAATACCCATCTGGTTCTCCAAGACTCATCCATCCACCCCTCTTTCATCCACCTTATTAGTTCTCAGACTTTGGCGTGCATCAGAATCACCTGAAGAGCTTGTTAAAACAGGCTGTTGGGCCCCATCCTTGAGTTTCTGATCCAGCAGGTCTGGGGTGGGGCCTGAGATTCTGTCTTTCTAACACATCCCCACGTGGTCCATGGGCCACATCTGAGAACCAGCAGTCTACTATATGTGTTTATTTCTATTTCTCAGCTCACTTCCAGACACTGTCTGGCACCCTTCTGCTTTTCTCCTTCCATCTCCCAGCCCACCTTCCTGCCTCAGCACTGTCTTTCTGGACATCGCCACCTGCGTTCTCCATGCTCTGCCACTCCTGGTGCCAAGGTCTAGCAGCCAACTCTTCTAGGCACACCTGGACAGTAACCATTGCCATGCTCACCCCTGGGGCCAAAACACACAGACCAGGAGGGCAGACCTGACAGGTCTGTGGCCTGGGCTCTCCGTGAAATGGCAGAATAATCTGGTACCATCTCTCCACTTCATAGATGATGAAACTCAGGCTCAGAGATCGAAGGTGGTCAGGGTGGCACAGCCAGCAGGGCTGGAACACAGCTCTTTCAACTCCCAGGCCAGCAGACCCCACCCCCATGCTTGGCCTGATGTGTGGCTTCCCAGGAGATACACATGCAAATATCATGGTACTGCATGCCAAGCACTTGACACAGGCTTTGAGCCCTGGTTCCATTCTTTGGTTATTTTCTACTTGTCTTGAATTGGCAATAAGGGAAACTAGTTGCTGGGTATGAGCGCTTAAGGGAGACTGGCCTCCTCCCTCAGTCTCTCTTATTCTGTGGGGGGGGCCCTCGATTAAGTCAGTGTGAGGGGAGGGAGGGGTGGGGGATGGGTAAGGGAGCAGCAGGAGGCTGTTAAAACAGAAGTGGCAGCAGGAAAGCAGGAGCAGAGGTCTGGAGGGGGAGGACTGCACCCTACCCCCAAACCCCACCTGCTTGAGAGAGAGAGAGAAGTGGGTGTGCAGGAGTAATTAAGAGAACCATGGGTATCTACATGTTCTCAAAGGAGCTGTCACTGCAGGGACGTGGGGATGTTGGAACGTGGCCCGTTCTCACAGTCATCCACATCAACGGAGAGGAAGGAAGGCACAAATAATCCCTGTGTCACTTGGGACAGGATTCAGAAGGCAATTAGAGCTGCTCTCACACACACACGTGCACAAGGACACACAGACCCTCGAACGCTAATCCTTGTGTCTCCCACCTTGGGTCGCAAGCCCAGGCGCTGGATAACCGGGGATGACGGGGAAAGTCCCCAGCCAGGTGGTCCTTACTTCTCTTCCTAATGCGCCCCAACCTACCAGGTGTCCTAGCCTGTGCCTGGCCGCAGTTTGGGCTGCAGCCATGGTGGGACTGCTCCCCTGGACCCCTCCCTCCACTTTCCTGCCAACTGCTTATCTTCCTTCAACTCTCAGCTGAAAGGGTACTTTTGCAGGGAGTCCTCCTCCCCAGCCAGGCCCCCATGACCTCCCCACATTCCTGATGTCAGGTCCCACAGCAGCCTGCAGTTAAGCTTTTATACTCACAACTATTTGGCCCCCATCCCCTAGTCACTGCTGTGTGCCTGGCAACTGACCAGGGGACTGACACATAATAGGTGCTCATTAAGTATTTGCTCAATGAAAGTAAGAACAAACAAGAAAATTGGCTCTGGAGCTTAACACATGGCTGGGAGACTTGACGTGTGGACCACACACATCACAGGTAAAATAGGTAATGGGTCGGGGGGATGGGGTGGGGGGGCTTCTGAGTAACAGAGGTGCTCAGAAGAAGGCAAGCATATGTCTCAAGGGGAGCTTCATGGGCACCCAAGTGTCCTGATGGACAAGTAGGATTGTGAGGGGCACAAGAAGAGGATGACCTACAGAAAGGCTAATTGCACTCTGGAACTGGTGATATGTGCCTTGGGCAACCCCTGCACTTGTCTTTAGAGATGGACAGTCCCTGGCTTCGTGTTTAGGCAATTCTAAGCCTTCAAAGAACTCAGGCCACCTCCTGTCCCATGCAAGTTCCTTTAAAAGACTAAGTAATCTCTCTTTGAACACCCCCAGTGAAAGGGTGCTTACCTCTTTAGCAGGCAGCTCATTCAATTGCAGAGTTTCACAAAGTTCTTTCTTAATCAAATCTAAATCTGCTTTTCCCTACGGGCCATGGGGAAGACAGCTCATGTGCTCCCACCACAGATCTTCATGGGGGGGGAGCCAACTCTCAAGTCACCTTAGGCTGCCCGTTGGCTGGCTGAACAGCCCGGCTCCTTCAACAGATCGCCTGACGGCAGAGCTCTAAATCCCCTGAAACTGCAGATACACATCACAACGTTTTTCCAGGGTGCCCAGACTTCGTCACCCATTTGTTATGGTTGGCTTTTGGTAACAAGCAGAAACAGAAGTGCAAACTCTCCCTGGTTACATCTGGACCAGACCCTGTGGGTGTGGACTTGCCACTTGTCCCTAACAACTGCATCTCACTGGACTCTCCATACTCATTCTGTGCTGTCAGGATCTTTCTGGAACTAGATCTTATCATTCATTGTGTGTGTGTCTGCGTGTTTTGGGTATTCTGCCTGCTTTCATGGGACCGCCATCTGTGTCTCCCCCAAGTTTTAGAGAGAAACATTAAATGGCTGGGCTGAGGACAGAGTTGGGGAAGCAGCAGCAGGGGCCCCTCACCTGGCTCCAGCACTGCTCTTTGAGTGTCATCTGTCAACAAGTGAGGAATCTTCCAGATAATCAGTCCAAGCCCTGTGTCTCCATTTTTGTATACAAAGATACTATGAAGGACAGGACTGAAATACAAAAGCACTCTGCCCCAGTATACCTAGTACAGAGAAAATAGATGGCTTGTTTTTCTTTTAAGAAAAATCAGGGGTTAGACTGGTATGATTTGTTCTTAGAGAATGCATTTTGGCTCCTATGGATCCTCATTTTTGGTTCTAAATGCCTGCAAATCACTAACTTAAAAACCTATCAGTCACACCAGGATGGCTATAATCAACAAGATGGACAATTACAAGTGTGGGCCAAGCTGTGGAGAAGTGGAAACCCTCATCAATTGCCAGTGGAAATGAAAATGGTGCAGCTGCTTTGGAAAACAGTTTGGCATAAAAAGTTAAATATGGAGTTATGATGTGACCCAGCAATTCCACTCCTGGGTGTAGACTCGTGCAGAACAGAGTTAACACAGTAGGCCTGAGACTTCTATCCCTAGAAAGGCTCTGCTTGCAAATCTGGCCCTTGGCTGGCACCTGGGAACTTGGATTTAGTGAGTGTTCTCACCATTCTCTGATGGGTAAGGGTGGTTTACTGCACCGAGACTGTACAAACAATGTGGTGTATGCTGAACACCTGCCTTCCTTCCAGGAGTCTGGAATTTCGGTACATGTTAGGCCGAGGGTACTTACATGACCAGCCCCCAGTAAAAACCTTGGGCACTGAGTCTCTAATGAACTTCCTGGTGGATGGCGTCTCACACGTGTCATCACAACTCAGTGCTGAAGGAATGAAGTGTGTTCTGGGTGACTCCACCCAGAGAGGACTCTTGCGTGCTGGGTCTGGTTTCCCCAGGGCTTCTCTGTATGCACATTTCCCCTTTGATGATTTTGCTTTGTGT